TAGGTGGCTCTATATCTCCGCCCCCAATCGGGGCGAGTTTAATGAGTTCTCCGCATGGGCACACCCACTGTTCTCAGTCGGCTACTAGTCTCTTAATGTCGCATAACTCGACTGCCGATAGCGGGAGCAGTCACATCAATTTGCATCATCATCATCACCATCATCCCCATCACCACCAACAACATGTGATTGGCAGTTCAGGAAACGGCCAAGGATCAAACCGCATTATACAGAATCTATTGCATAGTGCGAATGCATCAAATGTTATGCACCATAGTCACCATTCCCAACTGCCACATACCATGGCGCACTTGACGCAACATCAGCATCACTCGAATTCGCACGAACAATTATCTCAACAACATCAACCGCATTTAGAGATAACGCCGCTAATGCAATCACCGCCACTCCCACCACCACCACCAACGCTTCATCTGCAAAGTCCATCGAATCAAAGTAATCAGTCGCAACACGGCAGTGGTGGTGCCAATTCGCTCAGCTCACCTATAACAACAACACCAGTGATAGCTTCCAGCAGTAGAACACTAAAATCGCCAGCGCAAACGAGTCTGAGCGACGAAGCGATCTGTGTGTCGGAGGTACAATCTCATCAGTCACATTCAGCGCATTTGAGCGGCGGCGGTGAGCAACAACAGCATCTGCTGAGCCACCATGGCGCAACACTGTCGCCGTCCGAATTAAATTCGAATACTGCCGTATCCTCACATTCAAAAGACGGCACGAGTGAGGCTCAACATCAAGCTCACGTCATTGACTCCATAACGATATCACCAGCCGAAGGACATAATTTCAAAATGGAAGATATGTAACTACTAAGTTCCTTAACGGCTCATTTTGAATGCAGCAAAACTTTAGATTGACTCACAATCAGAATATACAGTGCGTTCAAATACGCACCGCACCGAGCAACTTTGTTTTTTTGTTTTATTGCTATTATAATTACTTACATATTTACAAACATATACATGCTATATACAAGTCAAGACAGCAATTAAAATATGCTAGTTTTTAAATAAACCATTGTGTTTTCGGTAAGTGCTCAAGAGGAAGGGGAAATGGGTGAACAAAGACACATACCTTGTGAGAACTTGGTAAGTTACAAAAACATACTTATAAGATTTTAGTGCATAGGAAAGTATAAAGATTATATATTTTTTTATTATTTATGATTAGGCAGTTGATTTTTATGCAAAAAATAAGCCTAAAAGTATATACCATATAACCAGAAGCAAAATGTATTAAACATTTATTCCTTTTGCTTATAGATAAATATCGTCGTTTAAAGTACAAAACCACGTATCGTCATTCTGCAAAACCGCGTAACTGACATTTGCTGCCAAAAATTGGATTTGCTCACACAAGCTCTTGGCTTAATCCTTAATCATGCGTTCTGAAATATACTAGCCAGAAATGCGATTTCTTTATAAAAAAGAGAACCATTTTTAAATATGAGTGTTTCTACTCTCTTGAAAATAATTTATGGAACCTCACATACGTGGTTTTGCATTTTGTTGATACGCGGTTTTGCATTTTGTTGATACGCGGTTATGCACATTAAACGACGATGTGTAGTACATATTTGTAGGCTTGTTTTACATCAGCGTTTTTATAAAAAAACCGACCTGCGTGACCTCTAAGAAAACTTTTTTTTTCAAAATAAAAAAATACGTGTCTCTTTTTTTTATCACAAATAACAATATTCTGATATAGCGTTTATGAATTTCCAAACATAGTGTTTCTATGAACCCTAATACATACATACATATGTATGCATGTCAATAGTATTCGTTATGTAAACTAGTAATTTTTAAGTAAAAACCAAGCCAACTTCAATTCTCATATAAAAATTCAAGATTACCGTTTTTTTCGCAAGAATGATAGAATACAAGATTGCGCAATCCTGCAGGTGATGACGTCAAGATAGCAACGAATAGGAAGGAGTAATTGGAGATGGAGGAGAGAAAGAGTGTTAACCGTCAAACCACGGAGGTCGCCATATTTATATGCATATAAACATCTCTGCATACATACAAACAGTTTGCTAAAATGACGTCACACGAACCACTGATTCTGTCAAATTCGCCAAGAACAAAGTAGCGGTACTGCTGATTGCGCCACCTCTGTCTCCCTACATCGTGTTTTTTTCGTAATCCAAATTAGTACGGGACCACCTCTGAGGTACCACCTTCCCTTTATAAAAGAATGGCTGCATTCCCAAACGTCAAAATGCAAAGAATCAGTCTCTTTTATTTTTATTTCTAAACCTCAGCAGCTTGTAATGCCAAATATGCGCAACCACGGTTAGATGCTAGTTTTCACCTTGGTTGCGCAAGGTAGACTTTTTCTTCTAATGCGGTATGGAAATAAAAGAGACTGATGCTTTGTATTTTGACGTTTTGGAATGCACCCAATCACTGAAATCGGCTACATGCATACATACATAGTTCAAGGTTATACGGTAACATACATAAGTTGCGTTCCAGATAACTTCGTGTAAAAACCTGTAAAACTGTCAAATAACAAAATTACTCCCTTGAAAGAGAGGAGCAAGAGAGAAAAAATAAAAGTCACCTGGAACACGAAAAAAAACTTTTCCTGTAACTACTTCCATTTTTTTTAATGTTAAGCGCCATGGAGACGATCAAATATCTTTATCAACCGTCTCGCGTTTTGCTTGACAAAAAACAAGTGCACTTGCCTTCTGATCGTCGTGGTGAGCAAGTGCGCGGACAAGAAAAAAAAAATTGTTTGTTGAATTAACGCGTTTATTTGGACGTTTGCGGGCAAGACACGAGCCAATCTTACACATATGCAATGCTTGACATATTTATTTGATTGTCTCCGTGGCGCTTAATATTCTTTGCTGTCTGTTTTTGTTTACAAATGCAACCCTGCCTATCGTTTGACACTTTTCTTGAACTTGCAGGAAGAAAAACTTCGGACTAAAACCTGCAACTTCTGATTGAGAGAGAAAGCAAGTTACTCTCACAAAAGTGGTTTGATGCAGGTTTTTGGCACCTGGAACGCTTTCCTGCAAAAAAAAAACCCTGCATCTGGAACGCAACTATAAAAAAATAGTTCTGTTCGCTATGCAAATGCCAGTAAGAATTAGCCAGTAACAAAATTCAGAGAATGAGGTATCTTACTCTCCCAATGAGAGAAACTTACTTAGTTTTGCGTGAACAATAGGGCTGTTCAGGATCTTGTGCATATGCTCTTGGATTTGCATATTCGTTGCAGTTGTAAATTGACAACAATAAAATATGAAGTGCCTACGATCCAGGACATTGGATTATTAAAATTAAGACGTGGAAATATTACATATCGTCACCTCGCGTTTCATCGAATTGCAACACTTTACATCAGGCATGCCCAACGCCGGCAGAACTCCATAAGCAAGTGCCCTGCGCTGGCAGAATTCAATAGGCAAGTGCCCTGCGCTGGGCACGGCTGCTTTACATCATTTATTAATGCATAACGATCTTAGCACCGTAAAAAAAAATACATGATTTTCGAACTGATGCATCGGGATAAAAAATCTGTGCCTAGAAGAAAATGTTATTCCAAACTCAAATTTAAAAATTTTGTTTGTAAAAAACTAGTTTTTTTGTTGATTTTTTATTTTAAATGTTTAGAGACTTTTACGTTGGTGGCACCCCTCCTAAATGTAATTAAAAAATAATCCTTATTCAAAACCATCGATTGATACCTATATTAGGGTAATTTATTTAACTTATTAAATAATTTGATTTTGATTACATACACACATCTACAGGGCAAGCCCTTTCATTTAACACCTACCTCCTTTTTGAAAATCGAACGAACGATACAGATTTTATGACTTGGTGTTAAATATTTACGGTATACATCTGCGAAAGCGATTATTTAATTTTTTTTTTTAATTGAACGAACGATACAGATTTTATAACTTGGTGTTAAATATTTAACGCAAACATCTCCGAACTCGATTAAGAAGTTTCAATTAAAAACATTTTTGGAAAATTCGAAAAAAATCGAATTAAATCGAATTTTCACCACCAAATTTTGAATCGAATAATCGAATGTTTGGGAAATGTTAATTCGGAAAAAATCGAATTTCAACCCCCCACTACCCATCCCTATAGCACACATAGATCTAAAGTGCGATCAACTAAAAAAAAATTGGGCGATTTCTTTGCATAAATAAATCCATAGGATTTACATCAAATTAATGGAATTTTTTTGTCTTCATGATTATATACATTAACTAAGAAACTAGTGTTATACCTGTTTTTAAATTAATTTCGTTGAATCTGTACGATCCACAAGCAGTTAAATTTCCCTCTATGAATTTTAAGATAGCTCACTTTAGATCTAGGTGTACGATATGTACTACCCTGCCCACCTTTAGTTTATACACTTTTAGTTCATACATTCTTGAAGTAAAAATATTTCAAAGTGGTCGAACTAAAGGTGGGCAGGGTAGAATGTATGTATATCATATTCTTGGATCGATGTGCAAGTGATAAAAAAAAAACAATTGCGTCCTTTAATTTGTTAAGAGTTCAATTTCGATTGAACTTGCAGTTTTTCTTACAAAACAATATTTACATATTATTGCTTACTTTAAAACGTTTTCCCTCAAATATTCATTTATTTCTTTTTTTATATAATATATTAAAATATGTATTTATAATTAGGCGTAATAAGGTATTATCTTTTAATTTTTAACTCTTTTAAACAATAAAGAACAAAAAAGCATGTATTAGCAGCAATTAAAAAGATATGAACATTTTACAAAAGATAAATATATGTACTAAATTGTTTAACAATTAAAATTCAGCATTGAAACGGCGCAAACTCCTATAATAAAAAATTCAATTAAGTATCCAATGCTGACATTAAAGAAGCTCAAAAGCTATTTATTTTTATTCCAACATACATATACTACATACTAGTGTTGGGCGTTAATCAATTAATTTTTTAATTATCTTGTTAATTGATTGAAAAAGTAATTGCAATTAAATTAGTTGCAATTAAACTTTAGATTATTTCCAATTAAAATTTCGACGCTAAACATCAACAAGGGCGCTGGACCCGATGACCTTCCAAACATATTAAAAAAAAAAACTGCGCTGTTAGTCTCTGCGAACCTATTATACACATTCTAGACAAATCCACAGAAACAGGCAATTTTACATTTGCCTTGAAAATAAAAATCAGATGATCAATCTAAAGTTATAAACTTCAGACCAATATGCATTCAGTCGTCGTTGGCCAAGTTGTTCGAAAAAATAATTCTTCCACAGCTAACATTTGCATTCAGACACATAATTACTACTAAGCAACATGGGTTCCTCGGAGGCAGGTCGACAATCACAAACCTATACATTTACATCAAGGCAAATTTCAACTCGTTAGGCAAGGAACGTAATGTTCATGTATTGCATACCGACTTTAGTAAGGCTTTCGATATGGTGGACCACGAATTATTATTAAAAGAAAACTAAATCAATATGGGATTAAACATAAAGCACTCCAGTGGCTTCGCTCATATCTCACTGGCAGACAACCGCGTGTGCGCGTAAAGGGCCACTTGTCAAGAGAGTACGACGTTGTATCTGGAGTCCCGCAAGGGTCACACCTTCGCCCAAATTTATTCAACATTTTTATAAACGATATCGATATTAATTTAATTGCAATTACTTTTTTTATAACAATTAACCTACTTATAAATTCGATGAAAAGTACGGTACAGGCCTGAGATGTGGATAGCTATCATATCCACGTTCCAGGCCTATATAGGAGGCATTTTTAATCATTAATTTTTAATGATATTCACAAAACAATTGGAAAGTTGTTAATTGCAGAAAATTACATTTAACAATTGATTAATTGTTAATTGCTACCGCTACAATTAACAATTATTTAATTGTTATTTTTCACTACAATTGACAATTAGTTAATTGTTAGTTATAATTCTGCACAATTACAATTAACCAATTGTTAGTTATAGTATAAGCAAATAACAATTAATTAATTGTTAATTGATTTTACAATTAAAATTTGCCCAACACTGATACATACATACATAAGTAAATTCGTCCTTCCATTAAATGTCTCGTTGCATGCATCATTCAAGAGGTCATCAATTCTAAAACAGGTAATACAAATTTGTAATTGAACTCTGTAGAGTTGAATTTCACGAGGATATAATACATACATTCATCTATCTAAAACAAGTAAATTTTGGGGAATTCGCCAAATGTCCTGTCCATGAAATGAAGACATACATAATTACTAATTAACAATATATCATTCACTTTTTTATGAAGAATATAAATTAATACATATGTATTTATTATTTCATGTCCGCTTTAGTTGCTCCTGGCGAGCATTGGTTTCATGGTAAACTGGAGTTTATGCTAAGTCAGCGCGGGAAACCTCTCTTGGTACATGACGGTCATACTTTTGGCATACAATACGTACGCAAGGATAAAAAGTATTGGCAGTGCAATTTGTCAAGAAAATTTAATTGTAAAGCTCGTGTCACCACCACTGACAAAGGTGAGATTCTTGTTACAAACAACGAGCACTGCCACACCGAAATACGTCAGCATCTACGTAAAGATTATCAACGTAATAAAGTTATGATGAATGCATTACTGAATTTGAGCACAAACATAAGGCGTCAGAGCAACAATGACAGCACCACAAACAATTTCAATAATTTAAATAATTTTTCGGCGTTAGCTTCTCATAGTAGCAGTTTGTTGAATGCTGCCGCCACTGCTGCAGTCATTGGAGCATCCAATAGCGGCCATATGCATAGTTTTCACAGTGAGAACGTCGAACAACCGCAGCATCACATTCCGGGCGTGGTCGATTTCACGAAGGATAGGGGTGAGAATTCTCCGTCCACCCGCATCGATCCTCCCATTCACAATCAATTAACCATCGACGAAAATGCCGATACATCGGTGCCTTTGGACTGCGGTCTGCGACAAGCTACGGTGACAGCGGGACCAAGTGATTTTGAAAAAGAAGTAAACAATCGGGGTAATAATTATAATGGCACAGCTTGGAAGTGCAAAAATGAGATCGTAGACTCCTGAAACCAAAAAAAAATCATTAGCTTAATGCCATTCGTTTATAGGATGAACGCAAATTAATTTGTATTTATAGGAAATTTAGTTTACCAAAGACCGGCGACACTCGGATGCTTTCACTAAAGCGTATAAAATACTCGTACTTGTTAAAACTCAACGTACAACACCCAAATCCAAAGAATTTTTTTATCTACATACCTTTTTCTAAATATAAAATAAAGTTGACAATTTGTTTTATTTTAAGAACATTTTTTTTTTTATTTAATAAAATACAATTCGGGGAAGTGATTTGTTTTTTATTTCGCATTTTATCTAGTACAAATCGAATGCCACATTTAAATATTAATTACACGACTTAGCTTCTGGATGCGATTTAGTAGTAGATCGCCCTGTTTAATGGTAGCTTGGTATTGCCAGTTTTTGTTATCTGGTCGATTGGTTTCTACAATACCGCCGACACGATCCACTTTTGCGTGGAGGCGACCAGCTGCAATGAAACGTGAAAGTTCTTGGTCTATGTAGTCTACATCTACACCGAATGCCTCCGCCATGTATTGCAATGTTAACGACCGATAGGATTCAAGTAGTTGTGTGTAAGCGAGAATGCGCATTTCGCGAACATAGAATCGATAGTGGGGATGTGCCAAGTAATCTGCACGTAGTACCTTTTCCACCTCAGCCAAGTGTTTGAAAAATTCGGCATATTGACAATTGTAAAGTGCAAATAGGTAACTCTTTACATCAGGCAGACCATGAAGCACCTCCTGAATTTCGGCGCCCTTGACTACTTTGTCCCGCAATTCATTACGGGGCAATGCAATCATTGCTACATATACAGTGTATCGCACAAATGTGGGGTAATCCATCAGTTCATAGGAGGTAAAGGTACTCACGGTATCCAAGAAGAAGTTAGCAGCTGCTTTAAAATCTCGCACTGCTACTGAATAAATGCCTTGATAAACCTTGAGACGGTTGCGTCGATCCCAGTCACCGCCCTCCTCAATGAGATGTTTGGCCTTATCAATGTTTCGGGTTATTAAATCATGGTCTAGGTAGAAAAGACCAAGACGTATAAGATGAAAGATAATGTCTAAACGATGACCGAGTGATACCGTCTTTTCATATGTTTTACGAAAAGCAGTTTCGGCTGCAGCTTTGTCACCGATGCGACACAAGTGTTCAGACTTTTTCAAATTGGCCTCGCGTACCTCCATCTCGCCCAAATTTTTTTCTGCATCTTCTATTGCTTCATCTAACTTTGTTAACTCCAAACGATTTTGCTCCTTCATACGAGCAAGCAAATCCTTATCCACTACCCAATTCAATTCCAAGCATATGTGTTCGTACCAAGGGGCCATGTTGTCAGCACGCACTGCGTCCAATAATTTCAATTTCAAGGCAGCATCTTGTTTATGCTCTGGTAGCGATAAGAGAAACTTGTACTGAGCTAATTCCAGTTTTGGGTTCTTCTCTAGACCCTCTTCTTCCAAGTTCTCGACAGGCATTTCAATGTAACAACAGCAATGTCGAAAATATCAAACCAACTATAAAAACCTTTTTTGTTATTCAAGCCGCAAAGTCATGTACCTACTAAACTTGGCTGCTGTTCACTGGCTGGGTTCACGTCTCTAATATGGCCTGACAAATTCCAATTAGAAATTTAGCATCCGAATTTTTATGATGGCCAATATAAAAATTATAATTGTTTTAATCAAAATATATATGCACTTATGCTAATGTAATAGAAGAAGAAACTTTAAAAAGAATTTTAAACGCAATCTATGGAATCGCTTTGATTAAAATATTTTTTTCCAAATACAACCATGCAAAACGCAGCGAATTCGTTGACAGCTGTCAAGTGAATCGAAAAAAGAGGGTGTTGATCGATAATCACAGAAAAGTGAAAATTAGCAAAATTTTTAATTCGAGTTGGACGTTTTGGTGTTGTATATACTATTGAAGGAAGTGAAAAAGGCTTTTTGCTGAAATGATTGGTGGATTATTTGTATATAACCACAAGGGGGAGGTACTAATCAGTCGCGTATATCGTGATGATATTGGACGTAATGCAGTGGATGCTTTTCGTGTCAACGTCATCCATGCAAGGCAGCAAGTGCGTTCCCCGGTAACGAATATTGCAAGAACAAGCTTTTTCCATATAAAGGTATGTAGTCTTAAAAAAATAAATTTTTTACATAAACGTAATAAATATTTTTTAGCGTGCCAATATTTGGCTAGCTGCCGTGACCAAACAAAATGTAAATGCAGCAATGGTATTCGAATTCCTATTAAAAATTATCGAAGTAATGCAGTCATACTTTGGTAAAATTTCTGAAGAAAACATTAAGAATAACTTCGTTTTAATATATGAATTGCTCGACGAGATACTCGACTTCGGTTATCCGCAGAACACGGACTCTGGCACGCTGAAGACGTTCATAACGCAGCAGGGTATTAAGTCGGCCACTAAGGAAGAACAAATGCAAATCACCTCACAGGTAACCGGTCAAATCGGATGGCGGCGTGAAGGCATAAAATACCGTCGCAATGAACTTTTCCTCGACGTGTTAGAGTACGTGAATCTACTGATGAGTCCACAGGGCCAAGTGCTTTCCGCACATGTTGCTGGAAAAGTAGTTATGAAGTCGTATCTTTCAGGTATGTATGTGCTAAACAGGATGCTAAAGCAACAAGAATACAATTTTTTAAATTTCTTTATACAGGAATGCCAGAGTGTAAATTTGGTATAAATGACAAAATAGTGATGGAATCAAAAGGCCGTGGCATTGGCGGCAATTCAGAGGCGGAAACCTCACGCTCAGGCAAGCCTGTTGTCGTAATCGATGACTGTCAGTTTCATCAGTGTGTGAAATTGAGTAAATTCGAAACCGAGCACTCCATTAGTTTTATTCCACCCGATGGAGAATTCGAGTTAATGCGCTATCGCACTACCAAAGACATTTCATTGCCATTCCGAGTTATTCCTCTTGTACGAGAAGTTGGCCGTACTAAAATGGAGGTAAAAGTAGTACTAAAATCGAATTTCAAACCGTCACTATTAGGTCAGAAAATAGAAGTAAAAATTCCGACGCCATTGAACACTTCGGGAGTACAATTGATTTGTCTCAAGGGGAAAGCCAAATACAAGGCTTCAGACAACGCAATTGTGTGGAAAATAAAGCGTATGGCAGGCATGAAAGAGACGCAACTATCAGCGGAAATTGAGTTGTTAGAAACGGATACGAAGAAAAAATGGACACGTCCACCTATTTCAATGAATTTCGAAGTACCATTCGCGCCATCAGGATTTAAAGTACGATATCTAAAAGTATTTGAACCAAAACTGAATTACTCCGATCACGATGTTGTAAAATGGGTACGCTACATTGGCCGCAGTGGTCTCTATGAAACTCGCTGTTAAATTGGCGAAGACTCTGGACGAGTAAAAGAGTAAAGAATTTTCCGATTTGTATTCTCAATCTGATTGAACGCACTATATTCCACACTAGTTCTTAAATGTATAGCCATTACACACTACATACATAAATGCATATTAATCATATTATTTAATCACATTTTTTATTATGACATTCTAATTTTGTAAAATTACTATTGGTCTTTATTACATACGTATATTCCTCAATTTTATACTACATACCTATGATATTATTTTATTTTCATAACATGAATGTTAATTAAAAAAAATCACGTTTTCTGCGAACAATTTATGCGAATACAAAAGTGAATATGCTCCAACCTCCCTTTGTGATTCTTAGATTTCTATTCAAAATTTTCATGTGGTTCAAGAAATGCAAACCTTTATAAACTAAACACAGTTAGGGAGTTCACAAGGTGTTGTATACTGTCGTACTGTTGTATGTCATAAACTTTAAACGGCTAAAACTATATTTAAAGAATTCGCAAGCTAACATAAAAGTTTTATTATGAAATTTCACACAATTAAAAAATAGTTGGTGGTGATTTCAAGTCCTCTAAACATTTATTTAGCCGTTAAAAACTTTACAACATACAACAATACGACAAGTACGACACCTTGTGAACCACCCAAGTATATGTGTGAATTCGTAAGTTTGTGCAGGAATTAGCCCAGCAGAGTGGTACTGTCGTACCAATTTTATCTGTGTACGATCATATGGAAATGATTAACAAAAAATGTTTAGAAAATATGAAGGTTCCATGAACTTCTTTCTTGTTGATGCTAGCATCCACAGAAGATGTGTACTCATGAGCACCGTGCAAATTTTTGCAGAGGAATTGAAATTGGTGGAGTCAAAGGTAACAAAAAGTGTGATGAGCACAGAAATTTATGTATATGGAGTTAAATAATGGAATTAGATGGCTTGTATTCTCATACATACATATATAAATGTCAAAACCTATAATATGTATGCATATGTTTCCACATATTGCTCACTTTTCTTCTGTTGTATAATAGGCATAAACATATCGAGCCCTAACCGCCAAAGTAACGTAAGCGACACTATTTACAAAATTTTCTTTTTGATGCAGAACTATTCCTAGAGCATCTAGATGCATTTCTGCATCTAAGACAAAATTTTGAAGAAAATGTCGCTTACGTTATTTTGGCGGTTAGGGCTCGATATGTATAGACCGTAAGATAATAAATATGTATGAAGAAATTCTAGTACACAAAACTCGAAACATGTAGAAATATTATAATTATGTTAAAAGTGTTGAATTGACAGTTACGACAAATAAAAATTTAAATAATTTAATAACGGCGTTTTTCTTTTAGTGAGTGATGTCAGCCAAGTAAATCGGTTCAAAAATGAGTAATTTTGCTCCAGATATGTAGATCCAAAAAAAGCAGTTCAGTAGAAAGATGACATAAGCAGACCGTTTACGAGTTTTCATCGCGTAAACCCACTATTTTTCTTCATTTTTCAACTTGGACCCCCATTTATTGCAAACATTTTTACTGAAAGTGGTAAAATATGTACATAGATATGTGCTATTACTGTAAAAGTATATTTATTACCGAACAAATAGATGCCTCATTTTGTCAACTCAGATAAAGTTTGTCGAAGTTAAGTAGAAATACGCCTTGACATTTATATGTATGTATAAAGTACATTACACCGTACGACCTTAAAAGCATACGCAAATCATTTGGCCAATGAGATAAATTTTTTTTCAAGGCAGTTTCGAAAAAGAAGTTATTTTTTTGGCCGAACCTAGGGGTTGCTTTTTTAATTTTTCGGTGTAGGTGTCAGCGGTAATAAATTTTTTTATAACAGTTCTAGGCTTTTGGAGGGCTCCGCTGGCTCGGTCGTAAACCTGCGGGTACGGGATAGATAATTTGACTTCGACACGAGTTCGCAAATGCTGAAAATATGACGAAAAATCGCAATTACCTTCGAATCGAAATACCTCCCTAGCAACAGTTTAATGAGTTTTGGCGAGCATTAATATACTGACATTAGGGTGGTAGGAACTGGGTAAGTAGTAGAACAGGGTACTTGGGGTCAACGAAAAGTTGTATTCGAAATTGCCTCGCCTAACAACATGCAACATCTGGTTACATGCCCCTAATACTGCCAGCTTTGGTTGATTACACATTGCTTCTGTTACTTTTCCATGTTGCGCGCATGGGTGGACAACGAAAATAAGGGCGCCCACGAACACAGTGGAAGGACCAAGTGCAGAAGGACCTATCCTGACTTTGTATGAAAAACTGGTGCAAATCCGCAAAGGAGAGAGGCAACTGGCGAAGTTGTTTGGTCTAGGCCCGTTTGTCGTTTTAGGCCTAGACCAAAAAACTTCGCTAGTTGCCTCTCTCCTTTGCGGATTTGCGTCAGTTTTTCATCCCAACTCAGGACAGGTCCTTCTGCACTTGGTGCTTCCATTGTGTTCGTGGGCGCCCTTGTTTTCGTTGTCCACCCATGGGTGCGAAGTCGAAGGATCTTTTCAAGCTGCAAAATCCTCCGTTGACATCCGTGGGTTTCAGGCCAGAGATGTCAATATCGTCTGCATATGCCAGCAGCATCGTGATTTTGCTGTATGTGGTGTCGCTGCGATTCAGATTGGCAGCTCCTATAACGCTATGTACATACATACATATGTAGTCCATTTTCAATAAAATAAATATTTCCGCCAACTTAAATATGTATATCAAGTAGTATGTGTATCTGGAAAACCACATCAAAAATCTGCACCATTTTGAAAATGTGAGAAATCAGAAAAAAAACATCTAACGGTTAACTCAAAGTTAGAAATAATTTAGAGCAGGGGTTCCCTAACTTCACCCACTAAATAGCTTTCATTTTATGTAACCGCACATCAAATTACTAAAAAATAAAGGCACTACAATAACTCTGTTTTAGAGGGCGTGTTTTTCACATATGGGCCATTCCATTGTGACGGGTGGGACATTTTACTCCGAAATATAATCATTTGTAAATTAAATTATGTTCTTTGTAGGTTTTATTTGAATGAATGTGACTGGTGGCACAATGAAAATCCCTCCATTTTACCTTTGCGCACTAAAAGACGAATCTTAGCCAAAAAATACTTAATTTTGAAATAATAATGAAATTATAAACTTCACGCTTTCGTTTCTATTGAAAATTAAGCTTCTTTTGATTTTCATAGGAACAACTGTTAAAAAATATTTAAAGTTGTGACTGGTGTGACAGATTTTTGTGACTGTTGTAAGTGATTATACATATTGTTCGATTCCACAGAAAAGTAAACCATTCCGATTTTGTCTCTCTTTCAAGTATTGTAAATATTGGTGATTACACTGGATCACAAATTTTAATTTTGATTTCGTTCTCCAGGTGCCTTTATCCAATCTGTATGTAGAATCGCTCGCTGATTCTGAAAAGCGAGTTAACTTTTTTTTGTAAGGATACGTTTTCGAGATATTGGCAATTTAACGTTATTTAGCTTAAAAAAAGAGTGGTTCCACTTAATCAGGCATATCTTACGAACCAATTAAATGATCGTAATACGAGATACGGTAAGTGAAAGAAAATAAAATTCTCCATAAACCGTGCATATATCACTTTTCGAGTGACTTCGAGAAACTTGGGGAACAAACCTAAAGAATGGATGCTTTTGAAAATTTTAATTCATGGAAAAAGTGTGTAAAATTTCACTTGAGTTTGAAATTTTAGCTGTGGGCTAAGCTCGAAGTATTATGTTATTTAAGGAGGCCTATCAGTTTTTCGAATTCACTCAATTTACAGAATTTTGAAATTATATACTTAATTTTCAATTTTTACTTTTTTTATATTTTCGAAATTGTATTATTTTACACACAACGTAAATTCAAAAATTTTGAATTTTATATTATTAAATTTCTTGAAATTCCTTATTTTTAGGATAATTTTAAAATTTCAAAAACTATCGAAACACGGGAGATTCTGGAAATTTTGGTAAAATGAGAATATTTTGAAATGTACAAAATTCTTGAGATTTTAGAAATTTTTATATTTTCCAAAATTTTGAGAATTTTATTTATCCTAAAATCCATCCTAAAATGTAAAAATGTGAAACATCACAAATTGTTGAAAAATTCTTATGTTCATGGTACTTGTGTGTAAAAAATAGAAAATTCTTAGAATTCTAAAAGATATTAAGGGTACTCATTTAACAGCGCAAAACTCTCGCAAACTGGGCAAACTGTGCAATTTTAAACCCTCGCAAATGAAATGTCAAAATTTGTATGGAAAGCCATTTGCACAAAAAGGAAACCTTTGCGCGGCAATTTTATAGCGCAACTTTGCGCATTGTGCTGTGCAATCCTCAATCAGCTATTTTGTTTACATTCATTTTGGTTTGTGCTCAACGCTTTTTCGAAATAACTGCGGTAAAACCTAAATATTTGCTAAAAATTTGAGTTTAAATTGTTCAACTTTATAAATTAAGTAAAGTGAAATAATTAAATGTGAGAAATTGCATAAAATATAAAATTGTCCTCGTGAAACACATGGCGCAAAGTTGCCCAATTGCCCAAATATGAAACTTGCGCGTATATATGAGTACCCTTATTAACATTTTTGAAAAATTCCAAAATTTTTCCACTTTTCTGAACTTTTCCAAATCGAAACGACGAAATATGAAAATGTTTTCAACATTCGAATAATTTTACTTTCGTTACTTTTACTTAGAAAACATTTGTTAGAATTTTACAATTCTCAAAATTTTTGAAAAATAAAAAATTTCTAGAAAGCTAGTATTCATCATTATATTGAATTATTGTGATTTACTAAAATTTCTCAAATTCACAAAGTTTTGAAAGTTTAGAAAATTTTGGAATTCCACTCAAGTTATTTAAAATGGGAAACTTCAAGAAATTCAAAACTATCAACACTCTAAAAATTTTATATTGCAGTGATTTTTAAATTTATATACACGATATATGTTGAAAAATATATTGAAATGATCATGGGGAAATTAACGATAATCCTAAAGTTTTATATGAGAATTGAAGTCGGTTTTTTTGCTTAAAAATATTTTTTTTATGTATTACAGCGTTATCTTAAAATTTAAGATTTAATTTTTATGAGTCGGTTTTTTTTTCTTAAAAATTATTGTTATTTTTTACGGACTTAAAAAAAGAGAAAGTTATCAATTAGTAGGAATATTTTTTTTTTCTTTTTTATGTTTTTACCGCATAACTTTGGACCACGATAACCCATTTCGAAAGTTTTGCATCGGAAAGGTGGTACCTAATTTTTATAAGCCTGAATTTTTATATGAGAATTCAAGTCGGTTGTGTTTTCAAATATTTTTCAACAAATAAGATCTAGTCAGTTAGCAAGAGGTTACATCGGAAATGGGGATAATTAAGGCACTTTTAACCTATGTCGGTTTCCTCTTTTACATGGAATGACCCATATATATTCATGTGCATGAAACTCTATATATACAGCCATAGACAGATAAATTCTAAGATTCTGTAGCTCTTGTTATTTACCAGATAGGGGCAAAAAAATTGGGTTTAGTAACCCGTACTACCTCGCTGGTGGGACCAAAGATACCACAAACTGGCTCCCAGCTATACAATTTTGAAGAAAAAAATTAAAGTTTACGTTGTACTAATATTATTATTAAGGGCTCAAATTTTATGCATATATGTACATATGTATAAAGCTAATCAATTAACGGCAATAATGCCTTTTCGTTATGCCATGAATACATAATGTACAATGCATGCATTCTTCTTGAAGGTCTTATTTTCGCTATCGGGAATTTAATTGCGAAAGTCAAATTGAGGATTTGGCTATCTACTGTTATCTACTGCTACTGATCTTCGTGATAAGAAGTACATTTTTTGACCGCTTATTAATTCAATGAGTCGGCCAATTTGAAGCACATTATTAACCCTATTTGACTTAAATTTTCTAAGAAGTTATCGATTTATGTAAGCTTCTCTACCAGGGTCCAATTCTCGTTCTATGAAATGAAAATTGAAGAAATTAGAAATATTTGTCATTTTAGAGACGAAATAATTTGAAAAAAAAGCATGTCAGCTGTTCTATTGATACTAACTGTTCAATTTGCCTTGGTTTCAATAAATTTTTCTTGGTCATTCCTGGGGTTTTCTCTTTTATTTGTTGAACTTAAGAAATGTTTACAAAAAATAACATAAAAACAGATTTAGTTTTTATTCACCCGTACCTTCAATTGCATTTCAGCTTGGGTACAAAAATTTAAAACCAAACGTTTCTCTCTACGGGAAGGCATTGGTGTTATTGAAGAGATTAAAAATAATTTATCTCAAATGGAGAATGACGAATATTTAAAGAAATTAAAACGACCAGCGCAGGATTCTATTATTTGAGAATATAAATCGATACCTGATTGTCCATTGTGATGTTTCAATCCTTGAAATGAACTGAATAAAAAACAAAACATTAAACTGGACTTAATTTTTTTTCTAATTTAGATGGTGCTCGGACGAGCGCTCTCTTATCAATTTCTAATGTACATAATATAATCAATGCTTGCAGTGTTACACGTCGTTTATCAACTCATACAATAATTTCAGAACTTAATTTTTTGTGCTACATACTAGTCATATAAAAAACTCTTTTTTGCGGCATCGACATTTACTTTAATTAAGTGAATCAGTTAAAGAGGAGTAATGGATACCAGTGGCATTGTTCCAGACATCATTGATGTTATACCTAAGGCACGACTGGAGGTGATACATGGTTTTTCATATGCATTAACCAAATAATATACATATATGTATGTATATTTATCACATAAGAATGAGTCATTACATTTCAGGTCAGTTATCCAAGCGGTGCAAAGGTGGAGCTGGGCAAAGAAATCACTCCAATTGAGGTGAAGGACGAACCTACAGTTACTTGGGAAGCAGATAATGATGCTCTATATACTTTGATAATGGTCGATCCAGACGCACCATCGCGTGCTGAGCCCACATTCCGTGAAATTCTACATTGGCTTGTAGTTAATATTCCAGGAAATGAAGTAACGCAAGGTGAAACTATTGCTGCTTATGCAGGCTCTGCACCTCCACAGGGAACTGGACTGCATCGCTACATTTTTCTGGTCTTTAAGCAGGCGGGAAAGATTGATACTACGAACATTAATCCAAAGATGTAAGTTTAATTTAAAGGAGCAAATGATCTCTCAAATGCATTTAAAATTTTTCGCAAATATGCAGATTATTAATAACCTAAGTATTTTTTTTTGTTTTTTTTATTTAGTACAACACGCGAAGGCCGCCGCAATGCAAATACTAGGCAATACATCGCCAAATACAATTTAGGTGAACCGGTCGCTGGAAATTTCTATCAGGCACAATACGATGACTACGTGGGAATACTAAGAGCGAAGTGGGCCAGCGAGGCAAATAAGGCATAATTTTTTTTTCTGTGAAATAAATACATGTGTAGAATAATTAAAAAGGCTGTAAAATTAATTCGGGAAAAAAATAAATTGAAATGTATTTATTAGCTTCTTGTTGTTCAGGGCTATCGCTGAATCCATCGCAGTCCGATTTTCGTGAAATCTACGAAAATTCGATTACTGAATCTGAATCGCTACGAACATGTGTATTCAAAGTTTGTGCTGCGTTCGAGTAAATTCGGATTCCGCGATATCATTTTCGAAGATTTAACGAAAATTTGCACTTGCTTGGATTCAGTGATGACCTTAATTATGTTGAAGCATATTGAATAATCACGTTTGTAAACAAGTTGAGACTAATTATAAATTTTTTAAGGGCCACATCTTTTTTATAAGAAGTGCTAGTTTTTCAAATGGTTATTAAGTTGAGACACTTATTTTTCTATACCCTAAAGGTTTCATACATATGTATGTACATATGTAATGTATACATTCACCTGTGGACAGGTTCCGCCTTTTTCTATATTTTTTAAAGCTGCTCATGATTTTATAAATTGAACTAAAAACTAAGAAACTGGTAACACTTGCAAGGATTTTACAAAATTTCCTCCCTAATTTCCTACCCCATTTTTTAAGAAAGTGTCCCTCAGTTCTTAGCTAATGTTGATTTAGTTATCGTTTGATTTTTTTCCACAAATGTTCAATGGGACTTAGAACGGGGAAATTTACCAGACGATCCACAGAAAGGTTTTTGCTCTTTTGGGCAAACAATGCCATTTAAGTTTCAAACAAAAATGCATACATACATATGTATAACAGTACTTCAACATTTATTTCTCAAAACCAAGGTTATATATTTCGTGTGATTTTGATTTTTTGATAACAGCCCAGATTAGGGTATTTAGAATATATTCATGTGCTTGGGACTGCATAATGCAATCAATGATATGTATGTATTTAAAGAATAGCCAAGGATTTTTAACACACTTATGTATGTATGTATGTATGTTTGAAAATTATCAGTGGTAAGCAATGTGACCGTTTTGATCCAAGTGCATCAAAAGTGATAGATTTTTCGATGCATTTTGGAGGGACACTTCTTTTTAAATTTTAATACTTTTCCTATCGTGTAAAAAAATTCCAGTAGAAGTCGAAAAACTTGCCAGATATGTTTACAATTTTAAAACTACGTTGGTGTCAAAAATCATAAAATTTTTCGAGTGTCAAACGTTCGCTCGTTATCGCCGAAGCAAGTTGTGTCATATCTTGCTTCGATAACGGCGAGAATCAAGCGTGAGCTTTTGCCGAAAAAGTTGATTCCACACCAATAAAAATTTATTATTTATCTTTGTAAAATATTTTGGATGTTGTCAATCGAATGCACATCGAATTTCAAAGCGAATCATACAGATTTCATAAGTTATGTAACAATTTTGAAAGTAAATACATATAAACTTCTATTGTCTTTTTTTGTCAAACTAAACTATATGCCAAGTAACCCAGCTGATATAGACTTTTGAAACCTAGATAATCATTACCCTTTTAAGGAAGTATACATACATATATTAATTGTGCCGCAAAGACGTATATATAAACAGCACATTTAAATAAAGTCCAAATTAAAAAATAAAAATATTCAGCAATGCTATATTGAACTTTGTTTTAAGATTATATATAAGACATATTATTCCATACTGATACGTTGATACTTAAAATGAAAAACAAGTGATACGTATTGATATATTTAAAGTTTCGGCTCTGCTACAATTTTTCACAAGCCCGCGGTCACACTGGTGGCAAGTGTATAAATCAACTCGTAGATATTGTTATCAGTACTTGGAATCATACATGCAAGTATTTTATCAAATATTTCATTAATACAAAAAAATTTTTACACTGATAATGGTAAGAGCTGCATATGTACATATAAACGAACGTTTCTGTGGACAATCCCGGCGTTTAGTTTCATTTGGCAAGGCAGAATAATGGATACGAGTGGCATAACCCCAGACATTATTGATACCAAGCCCGAGGCATGGCTGGAGGTAATATACAGTTAAAAAAAAAACATATGTCTGCATGTATCTTTATAATTTAGGTCAGTTATCCCAGCGGTACCAAGGTAGAGCTAGGTAAAGAACTTACTCCTACTCAGGTGAAGGATGAACCTACAGTTACTTGGGAAGCAGATAATGATGCTCTATATACATTGCTGATGATCGATCCAGATGCACCGTCGCGTGTTGAGCCCACCTATCGTGAAATTCTGCATTGGTTTGTAGTTAATATTCCTGGAAATAAAGTAGCTGAGGGTCAAATTGTAGCAGAATATATCGGTTCTGGTCCTCCAGAGGGCACTGGACTGCACCGCTACGTTTTTCTAGTCTTCAAGCAGGCAAATAAAATTGAAGCACAAACATTCATTCCGAAAACGTAAGTTTTTTTGTCTACATACATACACACATACATATCTAAACATAAAATTAGATAGTGTTCTTTACTAAAATATGTACATATGTATATTATTTATTTTTGTATGCAGCTCTATCGCAGGCCGTTTAAAAATGAAGACAAGAGAATATATTACCAAATTCAATTTAGGTGAACCAATCGCTGGAAATTTTTATGAGGCACAATACGATGACTATGTACCTATATTAAAAGCCACGCTTTCAACGTAGAGCATCACAGAATAATTTAAAACAAATATTGTGCATACGACTTCGTTTGTAATTTATAGTGATTTGCATATATTATTATTGAACAAAAGTACAAGGACTTATTTATGTACATGTTAGTTATGCTGCTGTAAAATTATATGCGCACCACATATTGATCAGTCTTAACATTTTATTTTATTTTTTTGATATTTCATTTTAGTTATTTTTTTTTTATAAAAATATAATTTATTCTTTAGCAAGAATAGTATAAATCCAAGATTCAAACTTTATGCAATATTTAAATATTTCAACAAACTTTGGTAAAAATTTAAAGAGTTTTAATTGGATTTTAAGTGGGCAGTTTTGCAGCGTTTTATTCCATACAAAGTACTACGTTCGACGATTTCAGAAAAAAAATCTTTGAGGAAACAACATTCGATATGGGTATTTCCAATCTGGCGGTACGTGAACTGAAAAAGTTAACATTTTAAAAAGGTTTTTCTAGATTTGCATAGCAATTAAATGGCCCCTTATTCAGTAAAAAAAAATACAACTGTTGGTAGTAATGATTTAAAGATATTAGTAAACGAGCTGGCGCGACGTTACAAAAAAAAAGCAGAAGTGGACTTTGACTTCGATTACAAAATTACAAAACTCTGCGACTTGGGCAAGACATTTGTATAAAAGGTTTTGTTGTAATATTAGAAATGTCTACGATTTATTTTCCAATTTTTGAAATGTGGAAATCTTTTCTGCCTTGTGTTCAATCAGCTAAATTACCTGACGTGACGTTACCTGGCATTACTTTACTAAAATTTCCATTGAAAGTTTTGCTAATATTGTTTTTGAACGAAGAAAACATGCATTTTATGCCGAATGTACTTTTTACTTCAACTAAACATGCCAAATGTGAAACAAATCAGATATACGATTTTTCAAGACCATTTTTGGCAAAAATGTTTCTGCTTACATAACCAGTATCAATTATAAAAACAACAACATAAAAAGCAGCCAAATCGGCCTATAAATAAGTCATCTGTTCCTGCAAATCGTTAATATCGTGAAGCATCTGGAACGCAACTTATTTTCGCCAAGATATTTTCATTTTAAGTTTGCATTGCGAATGAAAACAAATCCGACTTTAACATGAAATATGTTACTCATACGCCATGTTGGAGTAGGGACACATTTGGCCATGTACGATATAGCGTATGAGTAACATTGGGCCTTAAGCATAGAAAGCGAGCATAAGTTCAGACTCAATGTTTGCACTGATGGAGTGATCTCAAGCTCAAGAATTTGTACAGAAAGTCGAGGCGGAGCTTAAGCTCACTTTTATATGCATTTGCAGTCCATTAAATTCTAGTAAAAAAACTGCAAGTTCGGAGTTAGTCAAAAATCGCGTTGATTTTTGAGATTTTTTTTGTTGAAGGTGTTTCTCATTTTTTCCATATAAAGTATGTATGTATTTTCGAAAAAACATTTTTTGTATGGAAGAGACTGCGTAAAAAAATTGTCAAAAATCAACGGTAATTCCTAGCTACTTACTCCTTGCACTTTATTATAATAAAATTGATTGGGCTACAATCTGCATACACATCAAAAAAACTGATCAAAAATTTGAAAATCTTCATGAAAATTTGCTGAATTTTCGCGAGTTTTGTACAAAGTTAAGGAATTATATAATGTTTTTTGTTGTAGAATGAACCATATTTTTATACGAAATTAGCGGAAAAATATTAGAATGAAAATAGTTGCATATATTGTGAAAAATTTGCTGTGCCAATACTTTGTTCCGGCAGTGTACACAAATTGACACTTTGAAAATTATATTATCTATACTTTAGAACTGTCCTATAAAAATATATGAAATTTATTTTTGCTTGGTAGTGCGTATTTGTGTTGATAATGGCTTTGGAAGTTCTCATCTCTGTATACAGGTTGTAAGAAAATTCCCAACTTTAATTTAGAGTCCCCATAAGGGACATCATTATTTTTGCAACAAGAAATCCGCAACCAATTTATTAAATTCGTCAGCGTAGCGCAAGTGAATGTTATGTTTACCTTCAGGGAACTCGTAATATCTGAAATAAAAATATCCAACCTTAGTTATAGATGCATTAGTACATACATATATCGCTAAATAAAAAATAAAAAAATGCAAGTCATGTTATTTTAATCCAGGCAAAAGCTATGTAGACAAAAATATGATTTCATAAAATGTATTTAAGATAAGGTATGTACTTTGTATGTACTAGGGATGTTACGAATGTCATATTTTCACACTCGCGAATGCGAATTTTCGGAATGCGAATGCGAATGTTAGAATAACATTAAAAAAGCTATAATCAACGTAAGTCATCGTTTTTATTACTTAAAAATTTTGTGAATTATTAGATAATTGAACGAGTGTTTAACCTATACAGTATTTTTATCATGACTCAATGATTATTAAATCTGGTATTTTAATCTAGTAGCCAAAGTTCAAAAGGGGCATATTATATTTCAAAAAAAGTAATTTTGCTGACTTTTTTCTCATGAGGCGATTTCTTAGAGGCTCGTATATAAAGCCGGCTGCACTGAACCATTGCTCACTTGGAATGCTGGCGGGTGGAGCGCTCAAATATTTGCCGGCCAGATTTATCAATTTATAGTATTTTAGTTTAGCTAAAGGCCGGTTATTGTCCGCACCTTGG